AGAGAGAGAATATTGGGGAGAGTTCCAAATGTCTGTATAGCCATGCACAAGAATCTAGGCCTTATTTATTGTATATTTAAAAACTGGAGACAGTTCTGTGACAGCCACAAGCATGGCATGCCTGCTAATGAGTGCAATCCTGTGGGATTAGCACTCTGTACACTGGAGAGAACTGTATCCCCTGGGAGCAATTCGATTTGTAAGCCTAATTTCTGGGGGGAGGGATGGGGAAAAGACAGTAAACACTGTTAACCCAGAAGTCAGACAACAATTCTTGTTCCTATTTAGCATTTAATGCTCATGGGATTTGTATAGATTGTCATTTTATCAGCCAAATAGTCTTTTAAATACCTCAGAGTTTTCAAATACCTGAAGTAAATATATTTCCTGTTTTATTCCTTTCTATTTTATGTCTAGAATGCTAGTACATTCTCTCCAAAAGCTTAACACTAGTAGGTAGTTTGAATCTAAGCTGGTCCGTGGGATTCTGAGTGGGTTAGGGGAGGAATGGTAGTGTCAGGAAGGGGTGACCTAGGGGAAACAAAGTTTGGTTCATGGACCTTGGGAAGTGCAATGTGTTACAATTAATGTGCTACACATCGCCACATGCACATCTATTGTCTCATCCCTGTTTCCTATAAGGTTATACTACATACCTTCCCTGCACATGCATTGGCTTTCTTTTTAAAAAAAAAAAAAAAAAAAAAAAACTTTTTATTTATTTATTTATACAAGCACTGGGTGCAGTCAGAAGTGCGGGAGGGTGAGAGAATTCACCAGAGTCAGAGCGGAGAGCAGAACAGGCAGAAGGACCAAAGTACACTGCTGAGGGGAGCAGCAGGCGGCAGGAGAGGTCTGCGCGCCATGTGGGACCCTCACTGGTGGCCAGGGATCAAACCGTCACTGCAGAGGCTGCAGGCAGCTTCGCAGCCCAGCGCTCAACCACTGTGCCACCAGGGGAGGCCCTGCATTGGCTTTCAAACAACTACCGTATTCAAAAAAAATGAGTCTGTGCTGTAAGCTTTATATATGAGAAATAAAATATGAATTTATTGTTTCTTTTCAACAAATTTGTTTTCTCTTTTGATTATATGAGCCTTTAGGTTGAAGTAACTTATTATTAAACTATTAAAAATAAAAGACCAAATGTCACTGAGAAGATTTTGATTAACCCACCATTCCCCTTCCCACCAGTCATGCAAGCCTCAAAAGAGTCTGAATTTCTTCTTTAAATATACGTCCAGTATACACAGAGTGAACAAATTAAGAATCTTTTTTCAAAACAAGAAATTGTCAATCTGAACACCCCAGTGATGTGCTACATAAGGAGGAAGATATGAAGGTAAGTGTACTTTTATCTTCAAATTTCCCAGGAGAGATTCAAGACTAATCATCCTCACTCTTTGTAGAATATAATAGAGTAATTTTGATTCTGTTTTATAGAGTAACAAACAGAGGGAGTACTACCTCTGGGAACAGAAATAGTAATGTCCACCTCTGTTCTATGTATTTCTCCTACTCACTATTTATAAAGTGCTCATTTGGGAAATTAACTTGGATTTTATGTGCTACAAAATTAAACTGGCTGTTTCCCAGTTCTCCTGATTATCAGTTTTTGGAAGAAAGCATTACCTAGGAAGGTGAAAGTTAAAATCACTGAGGACTCCTAAGACACATTATTGAATAATAAAACACTCTCCAAACAATGTGTGGGGTTATATTTCTCTGAGGAATATGCTTGTTTTTGTTAGTTATTGCTGCCTTTTAATAATAGCTACTAATGTTGAAGACAGCTATTAAAATGCTTTGATAGAAGTTCAAATGGTATATGATCTTGATATCTATCAGAAGAATCATGGGCGTAAATAACTAGAGAAAATAACATTTATTTGATGCCTTTGTCTCTAAGAATTCTTGTTGTATCTATTAAGACTAAACATTTCTTTATCTACTCTTTCTATCATGGTACATTTAAATCCTTAAAAGATATGGCAAGGGCCATTTGTGTGTGTTATCAAAAACATTTTTATGATGCTCATTGCTGCATTGATTTCTTTGGAATAATAATAGCTTATCATATATATAATGTATCTAGGACAAAACAGGATCTGACTTGTAGTTGGGAAAAACATGGGATTTTTTTAAAAGGGCAAAACTACTTTCAAAAAAATAAATTGTTCACTCAAACTACTGTGAGTATAGAGCCATTTTCCCAGGCAATTCAGTGATAATTTTGAGTTCCTAAAGGGGCACTGTAATGATTTTATTGCCTTCTTCTGCTAAGTACTGTGCTATGTAAGCAAAACTTTATCTTTCCTTTTGATGCCCTAAAATTTCAATCATTAAATATAAAGCAGATTTCCAGAGTGAATGTACATTTCCTTTTATAAAGTGTGTTTACATGTTAAAAATACATACACACATGTGATACACATGTGCACAGTTGCTATACAACAAGATTTCATATACATATTTGCATAGTGGATATTTGTTAAAGCACTTGGATTGCACCCAGGTTTTATCCCAAAATAATGACCTGATATTTTTAGTCTTCACTTTCTTTGTAAAATAAAGTGTTTTAACTAGCAGATTTGAAGTCCCTTTGAGCACAGAACTACGATTTTGCAAGTAACAAATATGCATTACATACATGTGTACAAAAGTAACTTTTTTAGCTTGATGGTTGTAGATATTGTCTCCCTTCCATAATAGGAATAAACAAAGAAGAAAGAATATTGTTAACAAACCTTCCCATTATTATTGGCATATTTCTTCCCTGTAGCTAGTAATAACTGTATAAAGATATTTGATTCATTCTTTTAAAAAATTGTGGCTATCTTATATGTCAACAAATAGTCTTCATCTAGTTATATAATCTTAAATTTTTTCAGCATTTTATTTATATATAAAGGAAGAAAACATGGACACAATATTTTCCATTGGAGACTTGATATTCTATCATGTAAATCCACATACAGACCATATATACTTCTTTTTTGTGGATCAAGGCTCCTCACAAAAAGTAGTGTAATTGATAAGTATCCACCTACTTAAATTTGCTTTTTTTAAATAAATTCCCATTTCTAAATTTTTCATGGTTGATATTTTAAATCTAATTAGCACAAGTCTAAATGTAGCTGTGCTATATTTAAGTGGAAACAAAAGGAAAAGAGTTTATTTATTTTTGGTATGTTGGTTTGTTGTGAATAGTTTTTAATAGGAATGTTTAGAGAGCTGTTTAAACATAAGCTCAGAATCAAAAGTTGACATGATATACTCTTCAAAAAAGCATGTGTTACCATATTCTTACTCGCTATTTTCACAGGTAATTCAGCTTTTAGAATATATTATCTAGCAGGTAGAAAAAGACGTGTGATATTTCCTTCACTATATGTTTTCAAAGCCTTTGAAACTTTAAGTTTTGAACTTATACCTAAGAGGGAAAGCAGAGTCAACACATAAGAAAATCCAAAATCATGAGAAGAATCAAGGAAACACAGTAATTAGCTTATATGCATACAAAAATCTATACATGCATATATGTGTTATGTGTATGCATAAAAATAGCAAAAATCCATAACTATAATGCCACTTTTTCTAATATTTGAGATAAATGGATTTGATTGTGACAGTCATAATTTACATAATCCTACCTTGTTTCTTGATTTTCAATCCTTCAACAAAACTTTTTTTTTTCTTTTTAAAGATTTATTCATTTTATGCATATGAGAGCTGGGGTATAGGCCAGAGGGGTGTGGGGGGGGGGTGAGAGGATCCACCAGAAACAGAGTGGGGAGCAGGAACAGGTGGATTGACTGAAATATACTGCTGAGCGGAGCCGGGGGCAAGACAGGAGAGTCTGCTGCACCAGTGTGGGTTGCTCCCTCGCCGGGGATGGAACTCATGCGGCAGAGGGTGCAGATTGCCTCACAGCACAGTGCTCAACCCCTTCCGCCACCGGGGAAGCCCCCTCAACAAAAATTTTTACAATACCTTATGATATGCCAGGTTCTATGTTTAAAGAGGCAAAAAACTTAGTCACCTCCTTCCAGAGATCACAATTGTAGATCTTCACAGTTGTAGATCTAAAATATCCCTATACTGTAGGGATCTAAAATATCCCTATATTGTTGGGCTTCCCTGATGGCGCAGCGGTTGAGCGCCGCAGCCTCTGCTGCACGGGTTTGATCCCCGGCCGCCGGGCGAGGGTCCCACGTGGCGCACAGACCTCTCCTGCCATGCCCGCTGCTCCCCTCAGCAGTGTACTTCGTCAGTCTGCCTGTTCTGTTCCCCGCTCTGGCTCTGGTGAATTCTCTCACCTTCCTGCGCTTCTGACTGTACCCAGTGCTTGTATAAATAAATCCTTTAAAAAAACATATCCCTATATTGTTGATGTCTGCACAGCAGACCACAACTATAGCCTCGCTAAATAACACCAAACTGTAACACCAGTCAAATAAATGACGTACTTACTGCCTTTTGTGCTCCTGTCTCTTCCTTGGAACCCCCAAATTTACCAGAGATCTCATTCTAATTCTTCTCATTTTATGATTGAGCCCAGAAAAGTGAAGTATTGAATAAACATGTGTGATTGTTGTGTTATCATTGTGTGACAAACCTCCCAAAACTCAGTGAAATAAAACAACTCTTAGATTTATGTTGGGCTGAGTGTCCAGTCTCTTTGGCATGGTATTTGGGAAAACTCAGTGGGCTACAGTGACTCAAAGGAGCTGGAGGCTGAAACAGCTGATCTGAAGAATCCACTATCAAAATATGGAACGTGGAATTTTCAAAGTCAATACTCTATGGTTTTTAATCACCTCAGAAGGAAGGAGGAGGTGATTGAGATTAAGCTTGGGGAGAAGGGTGACAATTAGAAACTATCTTCTAAAAGGAGAGAAATTGGGGGTCCCTCAAGCACAAAATTTCTGAGAATAATTAAAAAATAATTAAGGCTTTGAACTTGTAGTGGTCTGTGCAGTTGAGTTATTTTCACTTACATGCTAGTAGAGAATGGCAGCTTAGCAATTTTCTGGCTCAGGAGAATCAGATTCCATCATAGCCCATCCTTGGGTATTTATCATCCTTCTATTTATCTGGGGAAAGCAAAGAAACAGCTAATAATTAAACAAAGGGATGAAGGAAGCTTACTTACCTTAGCAGAATGATATCTGAGGACACGTCACACCACCTCTGCTCATTTGTGATATTTATATGTACATAAAGAATCCTTATCCAGCCTTTGGGAAAATTTGCCTTATCTCAGAAACGAGAACTAGCTTTATATCATGTGGTCAAGTCTGATCTTCTGATTTTGGCTCTCTCAAGTGTTGTCTTGTGAAGGGTTCTAATGCCAGCCTTAGATTTCTGGAGTAGGGGTGGGAGTAGGTCAAGATGGACATTTGTCATACATGAAGGAAGGTTCTCTGGTGGCATTCGTATTTGTCCTTTTCACCAGCTATTCCTACTCTATTTCTTTGAATGGAGATATGAAAGGAATGGTAATAATTATAATCTAAAGGGATAATAGTAACAATGGCAAGCTCTTTTCTTTATACCATGTGATAAAAGCATAACATTATAGTTTTGTAAAATGAGATTATAGTCTTGTTGAATAAAGTCTGACAAGATGAGATCTATAGGAAAATGTTTGGAGATTTTGAGTAAAATTACTGGGTAATTTTAAAATCCTAATCCTCTAGAATCTTATTCCAACAGAGTCTGTTTCTTACTACCCCTATTGTAACATTTGTTTGTAGCCTGTGTACCCAAATGAGAAGGTAAAGTTCATTCCCACTTCAAATCAAGAACAAACCCATAAACATTATTTCTGGTCTTTTATGCAAGGGAGATAATTAAATTATTTGTCATTATACTTGTATACTAATATTTTTAACTAAAAAATAAAATTGTGACTTCTGGGCCTCCCTGGTGGCACGGGGGTTGGTTAAGACACAAATTATGAAGCTGTCCACAGCCACCGCAGCATGAGTTTGATCCCCGGCCGGCCAGGGAGCACCCCCAGGGTGCAGCAGACCTCTCCTGACTCACCCACTGCTCCCCTCAGCAGTGTACTTCAGTCAATCTGCCTGTTCTGTTCCCCACTCTGTCTCTGGTGAATTCTCTCACCCCCCACACCTCTGGCCTGTACTCCAATTCTTGCATGCATAAATAAATCTTTAAAAAAAAATTATGACTTCTTTCTGCTAGTTATTTTCACAAAAAAAAGGCAATTGAATAACATGATTGTATTGACTATTTGTGTTAACCAATTTAATAAAAGCTCTTTACTTTCTATATTCTATTGGTATCAAAATGCAGATTTTTTTGTTGTTGACAGTTTAATACTCTAACTTTGGGATTAATTTACAATTGATTGTATGTTACTGCTTTACTGGAAGCATTGTTTTTCTTTTTGGGGGTATACACAAAATAATGTTGTAACTTAAATTTTGTCACATCATAGATTCAAAGAAATGTAGCTGGTAACTCACAGAAAGAAAGAAAACCTGGTTTACAGGTCAGAGTGTTATGAAATTTCTGAAGGAAATACACAGAAGGCAAAAAAGTTCTCTCTCCTTAGCAAAAGTAAGGTTTTCCTCTAGTTTGAATACCAAGAGAAAAGTATGTAATTGGTGACTTGAGTAAAAAAAGAAATATTCTTTAACACAAATCTTCACTTTAATAACATAAGTCTTTCAGGAACTCAGATTTCTTTATTTAAAATCTTCCATAAGAGCACATTATAAGACAATCTTATGTTATATTTGGTTACTATTCTATGCTTAACCTCTCTACTGCACGCATTGGAAAAAGTCCTAAGTGAATTATGTAATTTTGCTGCTGTTGAGCATTTCAAAATTTCTGTGTTTAACAAAATTTGACATAGAAAAAAAAGTTTGAGACTATGATCTTTTAAAAATTGGTATGTGAGGGCCTCCCCGGTGGCCCAGCGGTTGAGCGCTGGGTTGCAAAGCTGCCCGCGGCCTCTGCGGCACCGGTTCGATCCCGGGCTGCTCCCCGGCCACTAGAGGAGGGTCCCACATGGCGCGCAGACCTCTCCTGCCGCCCGCTGCTCCCCTCAGCAGTGTACTTCGGTCCTTCTGCCTGCTCTGCTCCCCGCTCTGGCTCTGGTGAATTCTCTCACCCTCCCGCGCTTCTGACTGTACCCAGTGCATGTATAAACAAACAAATAAATAAAGCATGCCTCTATAAAAATAAATAAATAAAACAAATTAAAAAAATTAAAAAAAATTGGTATGTGAGGCTAATATCTCATAAATGCAACTTTATAAATTTTCCTTATGCAAAACACTTTATGAAAACTAATAAGTTGACAAAATACAAATGGCCACAGGTCAGGCATTCTTGCAGACATGCCCTTATTAGCATTCTTGGCAAATGCCGAAAAGAAAGTATCTAATGAGCAGCAACATGGATGGCGCTGGAAGAGATCATGCTCAGCGAAATAAGCCAAAAAGAAAAAGAAAAATACCGGATGGTCTCACTCATAGCAGGAATCTAGAAAACTTAAATAAGGGACCAGGAAAATGAATAACTATAAGAAAGTGAAAATCAAAATCAACAAAAAACTATGAACCAGAGACACTTTTTGGGGGGGGGGGCTGGAGGGGAGGGATTGGGGTCAGAATGGGGGGTTTGCAATTGTATGGGGGAATATAAAAATAAAATTTATTATTTATAAAAATAAATAAATAAATAAATAAATAAAAAGAAAAAATTAAAAAAAAAAGTATCTAATGAGACCAAATTATATTCTCAAGCACAAAATATTTGCTGATATAGCAATCATATTTACATAAAAATATATTCTTAGTAGAGAATTAAATGATTTTATTTTAAATTCTTTTAGCAGATTAAAAATAATCAGTGATCAAAACCTAGAAGTAAACTTGCTCCTAAGAACAGAATAATGACTTATGGGAATGGAAAAGTCAGAGAGTAGATAGAAAAGTGAGTTACTGCTCTTTGAAGAATCGAAATCCTAAATTATGCCTTACATCCTCATTCTTGGTTTAAAAAGTGTGTGTGTGTGTGTGTGTGTGTTTACTCTGTGTAACCACTAGTGAGATTTTTAAATGTATGTACAGTTCAATTATTACATGATCATATTTTAATTCTTGATCATAATTCCTTTTGAACTATAAATACTAGTCCAATGACTAATATTTTATAAAGCTTTTTGAAAAAAAACAGATTGTGTACATTACAACCTATATAAGTAAATGAGTTATAGTTTATATTTAGCTTTAAATTGTGTTTCTTCAATCTAACAACAAGAAAAAGAAAACATTTCTTAACACTGTAAAGTTCAGGCCATTCCAAATGTCTCAGAATTTTGTTTTGCTTTTAGTTTGAAGACAGATCACAATCACAGTTGTTATGTAATAAAACCTTTATGTATATTCTGGGCACTGCTCTATATCCTTATTAGGAAGCCTTTATTTCTTGACAGTTGGATTTGGAGGAAGTTTTATTATCTACACCCACAAAAAATTTGTGTGTGCGACCTATACAACTTTGACTTTTCAAAGCAGAACTATGAAAACCATCTAATATCAACAAATCAGTAATTAGCCTGAATCACCAGGCACCAGCATGGTTCTGCCACCACCTACGCACCTGTGTACATCCCCTTCTTTGTCTTGCTAGTGTTCAGTCCCGTAGTAGATCAAGAACCAAGCAAATGGCATTGACTCTTTTTGACCACCAGGGAAATGTTCCGTTCGTCTTCCCCTAAAAACAGCAGCGGGCGTTGGGAACAATTCTGACTCAATCCATTCTCTCAGTGGAAAGAGAAAACTAAAAGGTCAGGCTATCTCATCGGAGATTCACTACTTTTGCTTTTTAATGCTTTTCCCTTTGTTCACCTATGAAAGGGGGAAGAACGCCTTGTCGGCACTGGCATGAGAACTATTTAAACATTACGAAAGAAAGCAAAAAACATTCGTGGCATTGTTGCGGTGAGTTCCACGGCTCCTGTTCGCGTAAATAACCACCCTCTTCATTCTGGAGCTGGGGTTACGCTCCAATTTCTCAGCCGGGTATCACTCCGGCCAGCAGGTGGCACTGACCTGCAAACAAAGGAAAACACAGAGGCATTGACTTTTTAAAAGCCTTTTGAATTTGCTTCGCCTTCCCGCAGTCGAGGACTCGTGGGGGTGACGACCGCTTACTTTTCTGCACGGTGCGTATGTGCCCAACTAAGTGTGGCTTGTGTTTAATCGCTTTTCTTTTTGGAATTCCTCGGCAACGCACCCTCGAGGTGAATAAAGGTGGGGTGTGTGTGTGTGTGTGTGTGTGGTATGTGTTTGGGGTGTGTGTCTGTGTGTGTGTGTGTTTGGGGGGTGAGCTTCAGGCGCCACTCGCGGGGCGCCGTCACGTGACCCCGGGATGAGGTGGAGTTTGGCTTTAAGGGGGCGTCCCTTCCTATCTTTATCAATCTTTAGGATTTGAGCTGGAGGAATCCTAGTGGATCTTTTCTCTCCTCTGTGCTCCCTTCCACGATCACCTCTCCCTCTTTGTGAAGCCGGAGCAAGAAATAGGAATGCATGAGAGGGTAAGCTTCAAGTTCACTTCTTTTAAGGGACTTTTGAGAAGTCTTTGGTGGATGGGGCGAAGGATGAAAACGCATGCAAGTGCCCGAAATTGGCTCGGGGGAACCGAGGTGGGGCGCAGAGTCGGCGCTTTGGTGGGGTTCCCAGTGCGGACAGGTCGCAGAATGCCCCAAATTACCCGAAACTCCAATCCACTGCCTGTGGCTGCTGCGGGTGGGGGGCAGGACGGACGCTGGAGAGCGGGAGTTCGCGGCGTCTGCACCCCCTGCTCTCGGACGGTTGCGGCACCGGGATGGGGGTTCCAACTGTCCTCTGGGTCTCGCAAGAAAGCGAGAACAAGCCTTGTTCTAGTTCGCCGTGCGCTCACCTCGCTCATGTTTCGCTTTTTCTGGAGCTGGTTGGATCTTCTGCCAGCGGCCGCTGCCCTGGAGTTTCGCGGAGGAGCCGGGACAGGGAAGGTCTGGGGAAGAAGAGTGGACCGGGGGGTGGGGGGACCCCGCTCTCGCCCCCCGCCCCCTCCTGCGGCAAGCGTCGCGCGGGGAGCTGGCCCGCTGGGGTCGCACCCCAGCGCAGACGCCCCTCTCCCCGCCGGGGACTTGGGTGGGATCCCTGCGTCTGGGCTAGAATCGAACCGGCTTTCCGGGTTCTGCGCCCCTCCAGTTGGTGGCTGCGCGGTGGCAGGCGCCCTCAGCCCAGTCTTCCTAAGTCCAAGTTTCAATCTTCGAACTCTTTCGCTCCTTTTAGGACGGTGATCATGAAGCCTGTCTGGGTCAGGAGACTGGGGGTCGCTTAAGAGTGTTCGGAAGGTCCCCAAGTAGACCCGGGAGATGTTAACGTTTGAAGGACTGATACAGGGTCGGGGGTGAGAATTTGAGTTTGGGCCCTGCTTGTTTGCCTTCCGTTGGGCCGGTCTCTCATCATCAGATGAGTGGATGAGTCTGTGTGGGGGGCGAGGGGATTGAGATGAGAAAATTTAGGGCAAATCACCTAGTTACACAATAGGAAAAAGGTGGGTGTGTAAGAGTGCCAACATTCATTTTACTTTAACGCATGGCTTTCGGTTCTTTCTAACTCCTGGAGCACAGGATCAACCTAGAGATGGTGAGAGAGAAGGAATGTGTTTTGACATTACTGTTTTTTTGGGGGTTGTTTAGGGCTCTTAAATTGCCTTGCCCAGCTGGATCCTAGGAGAAAGCATAACTTGCAAGGTGGCAGACACAGGCAAGGAATTGCAGAACTTGCCCTTCTCCACCTGCACAGAAAGGAAGAAATAGTAGGTGCAATTGCAAGAAAAGGCTGCATCCTTGGGGAAGCCAGGGAGCAGAAAGCTCTTGGCACAGTTCCCCAACCAAGACTCAAGACAGTATTTTCCAGTGGGTGGCTAGTACTGTATTAGTCTGTCCTTGTTGTTTTAAACGACAGCTGTCTATTGAACAAATCCTCCCAGGAGCAGTAGAAAATTATGTAACTCAAGTACATAAACTAGCAGCAACTTTGGGAAGAAGAATGTTACAAGGCTGACATTTCTTTTCCAAAACAAGTGAGGTGGCAGCTAATTCTGAGTATATGAAAGAATTTCTCTGAGGCTGGTTATAACCTCAAAGCTGCATTTTCAGGTAGTGAAAGCACTAAGACCTGTGAGTCGTGAAAGGCCAGCATTCTAATTGGAAAGGAAGAAGAAATTTCTCTTTGGAAGGGGTCTAATTTGCCAACCGCTGTTTTTGTAGTGTCTCTATTTTGTCTGTAAATGCACATGACAGCTATATTGAGATTTAACAACCTTTAATTTTGGCAGTGTCTGTAGTTGCATTTCTTATTTTAGAAATGTATGTTAGAATAGTAAATATCAAATTATTGTCTACAAAGATAATATGTGTAAATTCTAAATATTATTTTCTCACTGTTTTTTCTTGCAATTATAGCATGGTGAGCTGAAAATACACAATTTATCCAATGCAGAACTGTGCTACCCAACTGGAATGACTACCAAATGTGCAGTTAGTAAAGGAGAATTGCAAACATTCAAAAGAAAATAAAGTTTGCATTTTCTATATAGCTAAAGTTAACTTCTACTTGGTAAGAAAACTGCTATTCCTCACTGGGTATGTCTATCATATAGAATCTCAGGTATCAGAGTAGAGTCTCAGTATATTTATCTAATTTTTCTGCAAGAAAGCTGTCTTGGTCATCCATTCATGTATTGCAGTGACTTCATAAACTTTTCCATTAGTCCACATATGTATTGAATTATGTCAAAGTAAGTCATAGATGTAAATTTTCTGTTGTTCTTCTTCACTACAAAGTCCTTTCTTATTGCCTGCAGTATCTCCCACCTGGATATAGTCTCTAGATGAATCTCCCTACTCCTCTTAAGTCTCTTGAAAACATCAACTGGAATAATAATTTTAACACAAAAGCCTGTAGCTTCATGCTTTTTCCCAAGGAGTATCCATCGGTTCTTCCTCTCTGTGAGTACAAATCACTGTGTTCCATGGAACAAGGCTCTACACAAGTCTTTTCTCTTTATCCCTCTCAATTAATTTCCTCCTAGTCTGTCCCTTACTTAGTCCACTTCTCACTGCTGTTTAGCACAGCAGGTCCACTTCAGCCTTAAGTATTTTGTGTTTGTTCTTTCCACATGGAATGTAATCCAGAGATAACTGCCAGGCTTCCTCACTCACTACTCCCAGGCCTTTGCTCACATGCCATCTTCTCAGGCAGTCGGAGGTCTTCCCTATCATCCAGTCATAAATTGCAGCTCCCAGAAATTCCAGTTCCTCTCCATGCTTTATTTTTCTCTATAGCACTCATTATCATCACTGTACCTTTTACTAATTTATTCTTGTCTTTCTCAACCCACAAGACTAGAAACTCAATGCAAAGTTCACTTCTGTGTCCACTGACCCCATGCCTGACACAAAATAAGCATTTCATAAATATTTGTTGGATATATTGATTTTCCTTCAAAAACAATTCCTGTTTTTTTTCCTTTTACACAAAGTGGAACACTGCCCTAAAAAAATGACTATTGGAATTAGCATTCATCTTGCATGTTGCAGGACTCTGGATGGAATTCAGGTAGTGATGTTAAGATTAACACACAAGAACCAACCATTTCACCATTGTCAAGCAAAACTCTTTTATTCCAGATCTAATTCATTCACTAGCGCCTACTTGAGGTTATTTTGTAATTGAGAGGAGCCAATAAATGGTACTTTGAAAGATGGGAGGCATTTGAGTTTTATGATGATGACACACCCAGCAAGAATGGTTGGGGCATGGGGATGGGGCATGGGGAGTGATTTAGAAACTAAAATAGGCCAGGTGTACTTGGTGGACTGTGAAGAGACTGGCCCACCTGAGGCAGAGGATTCACAATGGGGAGTACAAAGGAGGGATTGGATGACTTCCAGGAACAGACTCTGGAATGGACTTGGTCTTTACCACATTCATGTATGTATGTGCAGTCCATACACATGACTGCACTCAGTCTTATACTGTGACAACTGTTCCTTCGCCCGGTAGGACATGGTGACAGGGAGTGATGGGATCAAGAGGATGTGATTTCCTAATGTGCTAGGTTTACTTTACATCATGAAGAAACACAATTAATTGATAGGTAATGTTACCAATCTTGATTGCAACTTGAATTTGAAATAAGATATAAAATTTTCTTGAATTCTTAAGTGAGAAGTTTCCAAAGAATTCTTGGATTCTTACCTGCTTCTTCATGGTTTATTCTCAGACACTAAGATCATTCTCTCTGCCTTTGGTGTACTTAAGATGATAAGTAATTACCACATATAATGAATGTAGGAATTACTACATGATGTTGTGTGTTTTATTAACATTTTGTTAACATTCTAATATTTCTAATAATGTTTATATTTGAAATTATCCCAGCACCATTACTATGCTTTCATTCTCATGTGGTGTTAGCAACCTTTGGTTTTATTCTTCAAGGAAAGATTCATTAACGGTGACAGTTAAAAGGGCAAGTACGTGGTTTTTTTTGTTCATTAAATTTCTTATATCCTTTTCAATGGAAGTAAATCTACATGATTTTCTTCATTGTTCTCATAAAAGGAAAGAAAATGCAATTCCCTTTCTTAACACAAGCATAATGGACTTTTGATTAACATAAGAAATCCCACCTCATATTTATTTAGTAATCTAGGGTAATCAGAATTTTTTTAAAAAGAGCATTCAATCTCTAGATACTGTGATTTATCTTTGTAAGAAATGAGTAGATCACAAAATGCTATGAAAGATCAAAATTATAACTTTAGAGCCCTACCTTGTATCTATATATTGTTTAAAGGAGCGGGGGGGGGGGAACATTTACATGGATAAAATCTTAACTATCCTTTGAAAGCTTCTGACATGGTAATAAAAATATAACATCATAGAAAGTGCTTCAGTGTTATCCAGTTGATTCTGCTAAATAACACAGGAATTCCCCAAAGCCTTTCATGTAGTAGTTAGAATCTTCTGTGTAGGAAACACTTGCTAGTTTGGCAGTCAGTTCATCCCATTTGATTCAACTTTTTTCCTCATGATGATGTGAATTTTTTTTACTTATTTTTGTAATATAATATGCTTCCTTAATCCTACTTCTGATATAGTTAGACTGTATTCTAAGCTCAGTTCCTTATGTCACCAATATCAGTTCAAAGATGAAAACACACATATATCATTCCTACAGATTTTTCTGGATTAAATATTTTCTGTTCCTTCAACAGTCCTTCATATGACAGAGTTTTCTGATGTTTCACTGTTTTGACCATCTCCTTTTGAATATACTTGTGCTAAATAAGGTTTGTCTTCAAGAGCAGTTCAGTTGCGATAAAACTATTGCTACAACTTGACTTCTGCACAAATTATTTCTGTAGAAAAGGAAAAACTAGGTATTTTTTTTTGTTTTGCATTGCTTCTTTTTTTATGTTTTAAACTGTATTTTTAGTTTTTTTCTTATACCTTCATTATGCTTATAATGTTTAGGAATGTGCTGATAGTACCGTTTAGATAAGACTACAGGTGTGAGATTTATACACTCCTTAACTAATTTACAGATCAATGGGTTTTTCTGAAACTCAAAGTGTAAGCAAGTTCAATGAAAAATGTTATGGGCCTCCCTCGTGGCGCAAGGGGTTAAGATGCAACCTATGAAGCTACCCACAGCCACTGCAGCATGAGTTCAGTCCCTGGCCTGCCAGGGAGCAACCCACATGGCGCAGCAGACCTCTCCTAACTCCTCTGCTGCTCCCCTCAGCAGTGTATTTCAGTTGATCCATCTGCTCTGTTCCCCACTCTGTCTCTGGTGAATCCTCTCACCACCCCCACACCTCTGGACTGTACCCCAGTTCCTGTATGCATAAATAAATAAAATCTTAAAAAATATATGAGATTTCCTCCCAAAATGTTTGTACTGTTTCTGCTATTTTGAAAACATGTTTATCCAGATTACACTTTATTTACTTCATTATCTTCTTTTTAAACAGTACTATGAGTCAGAATTCATTTTGACTGTTCTCAATAAAATTAGTAATGCAATTGGTCATTTTCTCTTTACAGATTGTTCAGTTCAAGGGAATGAAGAATTCAGAATAATTTTGACAAATGGATTGCAATATGGGGAATAAGAATAAAGCGAACATTTGACCTGCTTTGAAGAGACATACTGTCCATTTGTCTAAAGTAATCTCTAACAATCTAATCAAAATGAATTCAACATTATTTTCCCAGGTTGAAAATCATTCAATCTACTATAATTTTTCAGAGAAGAATTCCCCATTTTTTGCTTTTGAAAATGACGATTGTCATCTGCCCTTGGCCATGATATTTACATTAGCTCTTGCTTACGGAGCTGTGATCATTCTAGGGGTCTCTGGAAACCTGGCCTTGATCATAATCATCTTGAAACAAAAGGAGATGAGAAATGTCACCAACATCCTCATTGTGAACCTTTCCTTCTCAGACCTGCTTGTTGCCATCATGTGTCTGCCCTTCACATTTGTGTACACATTAATGGACCACTGGGTTTTTGGTGAGGCAATGTGCAAGTTGAATCCTTTTGTGCAATGTGTTTCAATCACTGTGTCCATTTTCTCTCTGGTTCTCATTGCTGTGGAACGACATCAGCTGATAATCAACCCACGAGGGTGGAGACCAAGTAATAGACACGCGTACGTAGGCATCGCTGTCATTTGGGTTCTTGCTGTGGCTTCTTCTCTACCCTTCCTGATCTATCAAATATTGACTGATGAGCCGTTCCAAAATGTAACCCTCGAGGCCTTCAAGGACAAATATGTGTGTTTTGATAAATTTCCGTCAGACTCTCACAGGCTGTCTTACACTACGCTCCTCCTGGTGCTGCAATATTTGGGCCCACTATGTTTTATATTCATTTGCTACTTCAAGGTAAGAAAGCCCCCCTCACCCCGTTGTTTTTTTATTTTTAATCTTCTTTCTACAGAACTCATTAAGGGAATTGTTCTATTTGAGCTCCTTTTTTTTTCTTTATAGATATATATACGCTTAAAAAGAAGAAATAACATGATGGACAAGATGAGAGACAATAAGTACAGGTCCAGCGAGACCAAAAGAATCAACATCATGCTGCTTTCCATCGTGGTGGCATTTGCAGTCTGCTGGCTGCCTCTCACTATCTTCAACACCGTGTTTGACTGGAACCATCAGATTATTGCTACCTGCAACCATAACCTGTTGTTTCTGCTCTGCCACCTCACAGCAATGATATCCACCTGTGTCAACCCCATCTTTTATGGATTCCTCAACAAAAATTTCCAGAGAGACTTGCAGTTCTTCTTTAACTTCTGTGATTTCCGGTCTCGGGATGATGACTATGAGACCATAGCCATGTCTACCATGCACACAGACATCTCTAAGACTTCTTTGAAGCAAGCAAGCCCAGTCGCATTTAAAAAAATCAACAATGATGATGAGAAAATTTGAAACTGCTCCTAGCGTACAGTTTCAGATGATATCTGCTTAAAGGCAAGCATCACCTGCAACATACTTTCCTTACCTGTTTCCTAAGGAATGGGGTTAAAATTATTTGATAGAGACCAAGAATTTTCATGTCTTGCTTTTTACTGCTTTTGTAGAAGCTGGCCTAATTACATTTGGAACAAAATGTACGGGCTTTGGAATCTTCTGGCAGTAGTTTGGACCAGACATCCTTGAAGTGCTTTTGTAAACTTATGCATATATATAAAGACTTTTGTATTGTATTTATTGGAATGAAATTTCTTTAAAGTATTACTACTAACTTTAGAAACACTACACCTGAGACTGTCACTAAATTAGGCCCTCATGGTTGCCAAAGACTGTCAAAAGATTGGGCAATCCTGATGCAGTAACAGGCATCATTAGAGTCTGTCGGGGATCCCAGCATGCAAAAGCAGCACTCAGGATGTAGAGCTATGAGTCCCTGTGTGAAGTCTACTCGTCCAAAGTCATTCAGGAGTGATTTACATTTTTATAAAAATTTTTAAGAAAAGATTTAATTTACTCCTTATTGATTATCACTGAAAGATTAAAAATGCATAAAGGATAATTCTCAACTGCGAATATCCTGGGGAACTGGGCCACCTGCAAGAATTAGGTGGGAAAGCAGTCCTCTAACTTCCATTCTGGTACCTGACAGCCAAAGGATTTTAGAGGAATTAGTGTAAGAAGTAAGTTGCTATTGCTGCAGATAGTTGAACTACACGCATTTGAGTTGATGGTCAAGAGGTTTTCCATTCTTAAGAGACTGTTCAGTGTTTCAAGTTTTCCAGCATAAATATACATGTTAATTCAAAAGGCATTTCCAACTTAGAGTATATGAAAACACAAAATGTATTTTCTATACATCAGTGCCTACATAGTAACTCATTTTTAACCTTCAATGTCCATCTTTTAAAGAAGGACAAAAAAGTAGAATGTTACGAGAATGTTCCTCTGGCTAGCAGGAATAACTACCTGGTGACTGAGAACTCTTCACATAACTCATGTTAACTTGTATAAACAGTGTGCCTTGTAGAGTCTTATAAATGTGCTTTATATAGAGGACTGTGTAGTTGTGTTATGTTAAGATACTTTATTTCATGTATCCTGTAAACATGATTAAACCTCAAAAGATATTTGAAAGAACAAGACATGTCTTTGCTGTATTATACAAAGCATTCAAAGTATTAAATGTATTTGATTTTAGAAGGGCATACTTTTTCTTCATTAAAATTGTTTTTACTTTTTCTGAGGGGTCTCTTCTGTGTTTCTCGTCAGTTTTTTTTTTTTATTTGTGTATTTGTTTTTGGTCCCCTGACTTCCTTCCATGGTGTTCTCACAGCATCCTATATCTTCCTGAAGCATTTTTTTTTTATCCAGTGGTATAACCATTCCTGAACCAGTGTCTCTTCCTTGCTTTTAGAAGCTTCTTGAAGGTGGAGATTATTTTGTGTGACTGTGTCTCCAGTGTATTTAGCAGAGTACCAGAAATTTTTTTTTAAAAAAAAAATCTCTAATATGAATGAAGATAGAATGACCAAACTTACTTTCTTTTCATTTATGACCTCTTCTGAACTTTTCTTGCAATTCTCCAAAATTCATCTTTACAAAGAAGGTGTTTTCTCTTTTATGACACTATTTTCCATTCTAAACTAAGCAAAATTGGCATTTTAGACTTTAGAAACATGATTAGTCTTGTCAGTCAAACAAATATTAAACATTTAACACTGAATGTTCATATGAATTCAAATTATAACCTAAGAGTGGCTTTTAGTTAATAAAGAAAGAAGTTCTCCGGTCCTCTGGTGGTGCAAGGGATTAAGACACAACCTATGAAGCTCTCTGCAGCCACCACAGCATGAGTTTGATCCCCGACTGGCCAGGGAGCAGCCCACATGACGCAGCAGACCTCTCCTGACTCGCCCACTGCTCACCTCAGCAGTGTATTTCAGTCAGTCTGCCTGTTCTGTTCCCTGCTCTGTCTCTGGTGTATCCTCTCACCCCCCTCATCTCTGGCCTGCACCCCAGCTCTTGTATGCATAAATAAATAAATCATTAAAAAAAAGAAAAAAGTTCTAAAACCAACTTTCAATGTGTATTGGAAGATACCATCTTTTCTACCAAAACCTGGTATTCTTTATTCTATGATTCAGAGATTCACATCCCTTCAGATGTATGGTATCACACCACAGACCCATCAAAGCACACAAAGTCCACCACCATAGTCCATTGGGCCCTGCCCACCTTTGTGCTTCACCCTCCCCGTCTCTTGCTAGTCTCATTTCTACAGTCAGATTTCTAGGATTTTTTAAAAATTTGTTTTTGTCCAACCCTTGGCTTTGTTTCTCTATATTCCACACATCAGTGATACCATCCAGTGTTTGTCTTTCTCCTTCTGGCTTATTTTGCATAGCATAATCCCTTCCAGCTCCATCTATATAAAACCTGGAATCTCTAATTACATGATGATTTTCTGATTTGGGAAAATAATGGGACATTTTGTCTCTTTAGAGGTATGAGAGCAAATTGCTACTTGAGAACAATCTTAATTCATAGGTGCTTCTTTGTCAGCACATTTGCTGAAATTACTATTTTTAAGATTCTCAAATAACTGTGTAGGCTGCTAATCCTTAGCTTTGCATAAAAAAATGAATTGAATATCAAATTCTTCTGTATTAGCCAAAGGTGGTCATGGACTAATAGTAAAACCTAGGATCAAAACCAGAGGCTCTAAATTCAAGAAGAAATAAATGCCCAAGTTAATATACTACAGAACTTGAGTATTCTGAAATTCAGAAATAAAAGTCAATTATGGCTTAGTACAAGAGCATAATAAATAATAATAGTAATGTAGCTTACATAAATTTAGAGTAAAATAATAATAGTTCAAACTTTTAACTACTTAGTAAATGCCAAGTACTATATAGGTTCTTAAGTATCTTATAAGAATGTGTAACTAATTTTATAATAACTTCACATAAGTACAAACTGAAGCACCAGTTGAAAGTGTGGAGCAGAGACCCTCAATTTTAGCACTACTAAACTGATTAGTGAGTTGAACTTATAATAGAGTTTTAGAAGAAAATTTGGTTTTCTCTCTTTACAGGTTATATTATTAGAGCAGAACAATACCATTCACCTTCCTGATTATATCTGTTAGGAATGTAGTGGAGGAATTGAGAGACAATATCGCTATGATTATATGTGTCCATAATAGCCTTCTTAATTTGAGAATCCTACCAAAAAATAGAATTTGACTATTCATATTAGCGTTAGTCCTTTACTGTTAACTATATATTTTCATCCTGTTTTCTATTCCATAATGATCCAAAGAAATATAAATGTGTATTAAAAATTTCAAAGTTCTGCAGTCCGATAAATGTATATCTTCACAAAGACAGCATTTCTCCACATATAGTAAAAGTGATGAAATGAGGTGGATTTTAGCTGGGATTCCAGGTATAACTCACCTTTGTCCTCACTGTGTTTCAGTGAGTTTCAGGGAACTACCAGGTCTTTCATCACAGTCAGATTCCCTTACCTGCAATCAAGGATTCAGTTGAAGAATATAGTTTCTCAGTGAAAGTTACTTCTGCAGTCTCCAAATTTTCTTTATTTACCCCATGGGCCATCAAACAGCATGTTGGACTTATGAGTGTGAGTCTGAGTAAGTAAGAATGAAAGAATAGCTTTCTAGTGCAATTAATAAGATTTCCCAAATTCCTTAATGATTCTTTCAGTGTGTGTGTGTGTACATGCAACACATTGCATGGGTATATGTGTATGTGTTTAAAGCTTATATGATGCTACAATTAGTTTATTTTCATTGCTATTCATTTCTTGACATCTTAGAAAAGCTATCCTATATAGCATATATCATAAACTACCCTATAAAGTAGTACTATTGTCTTACTTATTTCATAGACAAGAAAACTGAGGCATAACGGGATTATGTAACTTGTCAAATATCATTAAATTACTACATGACAAGGCCAGGATTCAAATCCAGGCAATTTGTTTCCTCAGTCATAATATAGCAGTAAGTCTTAAGCACACATACAATGGTCTCATAATCTAACCCGGAGAACTAACATCTGAATAGAGTTAAAAACAAGGACTACTTGCAATACCAAGTTGTGGAAACAACTGAAGTGCCCAGAGACAGGAGTGTATAAGAAGATGTGGTGTATGTACATAATCAACTACTCAGCTATTAAAAAATAAATAAATAAAAAGATGAACTCTTGCCATTTGCAATAATATGGATAGAACTGGAAGAGGTAGTGCTAGGTGAAGTAAGTTAGGAAGAATAAGACAAAAGCAACAGTTCACTTATATGTAGAATACGAACAAAACAAAGCATCAGAAAAAAACAAACCAATAATCCTAGAAGTAAGACTGCAGAGTGAGGCTGGCAGGAGGGAAAGAAATGGGTGTAGAGCAAAGGGTGGGAGGTGCCAATGAACTTTGGTGGAGGACTGTGTGTGCCCTGATGGTGGGTGTGGTGTGGTAATTACATCTGAAGGGGTGTAATCTTCTATCTCTGAATCATATACAGTGAGAACATAAGTCACAGATGAGAAAATATTTGCAAATGACATATCTGATAAAGGACTGTTATATTCAAAATATATAAAGAACTCTTAAAACCAGGAGCCTCCCTGGTGGCACAGGTGGTTAAGCACTACACTGTGAAGATGTCCGCAGCCTCTGCAGCAAGGGTTTGATCCTGGCCAGGTGGGGAGATACCCACGTGGTGTGGCAGTCCTCTCCTGTCTTGCCCCCTGCTCCCCTCAACAGTGTATTTCGTCAGTCTGCCTGTTCTGTTCCCCACTCTGTCTCTGGTGAATCCTCTCACCCTCCCGCGCATCTGGCCTGTACCCTGGTTCTTGTATAAAGAAATAAATCTTTAAAAAAAAACTCAGAATAATAAAATTCTGTAATAACAAGGTGAACAAACGGATTAAGAAATGAGCCAAAAACTTGAAGGGATACCTCCCCAACAAAATTGTACAAATTGGCAAGAAAGTGTATGAAAAGATACTCAGTATTACATATCACTAGGAAAATGCAAATATAAGCAACAAAGTTATACCATTACATACTGATTAAAATGAACAATATTCAGAAGTTTAATAATACCAAATGCCAGTGAGGATGAGGAAGAACAGGAACTCTTATTAATTGCTGGTGGGAATACAAACAGGTACATTCACTTTGGAAAACAGTTTGGTGATTTCACCCATAACTAAACATTCTCATATAATCCAGCAATCATGCTTTTTGATATTTACCCAAAAGAATTAGAAATTATATCCACAAATAACTGACGCACACATATTTAATTTTATTCTTTTTTTATAAAGATTTTATTTATTTATTTCTGCATACAAGAGCTGGGGTGTAGGCCAGAGATGTGGGTGGGGGTGAGAGGATTCACCACAGAGTGGGGAGCAGAACAGGCAGATTGACTGAAATACACTGCTGAGGGGAGCAGAGGGCGAGACAGGAGAGGTCTGCTGTGCCATGTGGGTAGCTCCCTGGCAAAAGATCGAACTCATCGATTTTCTGCAGTGGCTGGGGATAGCTTCATAGTGTTGAGACTTAACCCCTTGCACCACCGATGAGGCCTTTACTTTTATTCTTAAATGCCAAGATTTAAAAGCAATCTGGATATTCTTAAGGAGATGTGCAAATAAACTGTGGTAATCCAGACAATGCAATGTTACTTACCACTAAAAAGAACAAGTTATGTGAACAGCCTAAGTGTCCCACAGCATATGAATGGATCAAGAAGATGTGGTGATATATCTATACACACACACAATGGAATAATACTTAGCTCTCTATATATACGTATGTGCGTGGGTGGGTGTGTGTATAACAATGAAATCATGCCATTCGTGACAACATGGATGAAACTGTAGGGGATTATGCTAAGTGAAATAAATTGGAAGGAGAAAGACAAATACCAGATGGTTTCACTCCTATGTGCATACAGAGAAACAAAACAAAGGAACAAAGTAAACCAAAACAAACCCAAGAATTCTATTCTAATTCTGTTTGTGTAATTGAGGTCACAGAGAGGGAGGATGAGGAGAGGTTGTAAATGGTGGTGGGGCAATGGACTACGGTGGAGGATTATAGTTGCTTTGGTAGTGGATATGTTGTGGTAACATATATCTGAAGTATTATGAATCTACGGTCTCTAAATCATATATTGTGTTGTAAACC